CATACCATTGTGCATTTGTGCAATTGTGAGTCAAGCCTCAACTTCAAACCAAGCCTCATGTGTCTCTCAGGGCCAGGGGTAGACTCAAGAAGGCACTAGGTGGCCCTAAGCAGGTCCTTCTCTCTCTCCTTGGGCCTCAGTTTCCCCATCTCTGTTGGGGAGGGACTGGGAATCTAGTTAATTGATTGCCAAGGTTCTGGCTCTGATTGGCCAGGGTTCTGTAAGCCTAATGCAGGGTTTGTCCTAGTCAGAACCTAACAAGGCCATTTGCTCTGGGTCTTTCTCTCTGGGGTGGCAGCAGGAACAGAAAACAACAGAGATGACGTCTCTTGGCAGCACAGAGCTCAGCCAGAGAGGTCATCCCCGGAGGCTGACAGCTCACACCTAGGCAGCATTCCCGGCTTCCTCTCTCTGTTCACCATCCCCAAACACTTCACTAGGAGGTCAGCTGCAAAGGGCCATGTCACAGGCTTAAATGAAGGGGGCTTGGAGAGGAGTGGGGTTGGTTGGGGGGTGGGAGGGAGGGGGGGGGGAGTAGTGGGTGCTGGCCAAGGTGCTGAATTATCATTATTGCCCACCCGGGAGTGGGTTATTTCTCCTTCCTCTGGGACACCCACGATTCTACTCTGTCTCCCTGGGAATCCTGACCCACCCTTGAAGAAAGGGTGATGGGAAACAGAGTAGAAACAGAGATAGAAAGAAAGAGAGATGCAGTAAGGAGGCATAGCCTCCAAAAAAAAAAAAAAATAGCAGGAAAGGATACTTCTATTTTGAAATGTGTTCATTTCCTTTGTTTTTCCTTTTATCTGGATGAAATGACAGTATGTTTGTTTTTGTTTTACACTGGGTACAGAATAAAAGTCTTTTATCTTCTTTCACAAATTTGACAGTTCTATTATATTTCTGACTATTTCAGAATGCCCCCCACTCACCCCGGGAATTAGATGAAGTATGGGAAGGATTGCCACTTTGGACCAGAGGCCTAGGGGCTTCCTACTTTGATGTCATGACAAGGGGGACCTTTCAAGAGGCTGGATCCAGGGGCACAAAGCCCAATTCCTGTTGAGTTCCCCAAAACTGTGGTCCTGAGTGTGATCAAGCCTGAATGCCAATGGGGCCTGGGGGATCCTGAGGCCCAGAGAGGGTTGATTCCTAGCTCAAAGGCATATAGCACATGGCAGAGCCAAGACCTGATGTCCTGGTTCCCAATCAGTACACAGGAGAGGAAGAGCAGCCAGCTGAGAAGGCCCCGCCTAGGCAAGGAAAAGGAGCACAGAGGACCAGCTGGAAGGGGGCTGGAGCAGGGCTGAAGAGGGAGGCGCTCAGAGAAGGATCTCATGTCTAAGGTCAGCAGGGGTGGAGGGGTACCCTCAGTCAGCACCTGCACCCCTCAGAGAGGAGGAGAGAACAAAGGGGTCACAGGGTTGGGAAGTCCTCTCTGCGATGGAGACAACCCAACTGAACATGTCAGTAAGCACCACAGGATGGCTGCTGAGAGACCACTGACATCAACTTTACAGAGAAGAAAACTATGACCCAAATGAGAAGACACCAGCCTGTGGGCCATAGCCAGGCCTGGCCCAGGCCTCCTGCCTCCCCACCATGTGCTCTTTCCACACAACCTTCAATCTCCCCTCAGTGGATTCTGGTGCCTCCTCCCACCCCTGGGGAACCCGGAGCCTGAGCAGAAGGAACAAGGGAGTGGCCATGGCCCCCACAGCCCTGGGCACCAGAAGCGGAGTGCCTTCCTCTGTCCTTTTCCCCAAGAACGAGGGACAGTTAGCCTGGACCCTAATCCCCTTCCCCAGGGCAAAGCCAGTTGGTGCCTGCCTACACCTGGGACCTCCTTTGCTGGCAACACAGTCTGGAGCCAGAATCAGCCACAGTAGGAACAACGTCACCTGGGTAGCTGCTGGACCCACAGGGAGTTCCAAGTAAGTGAGGACATCAGGGGCGATAGCCCAAGGGAGTCCCCTGATTCCATGGCGCGAGAGTTAGCCCTGGGACTTGGGTGATTTAGAGGTTTTGGAATTTTTTTCCTAGGGAAGGGACTTTTGCCCCCTCACACCCTGTCGGCTGAGCCGCTGGGCCTGCTTCCTCTGTCTACCACAAACCCCAGGCAGAAGCCCCTCCCTCACCAGACTGCCAGATCTACAAACCAGGAATGAGGTCCTGGGGCCCAGCAGCAGTGTTCTTGCCACGGGGAGAAGGAAGATGCAGATAAGGGCTCCAGGAGGTCCCAGAAAAAGCAGAACTGGCTGGACATGTGTGCATCTCACAGGTGTGGAATGCAGGGTCGAGACCTGGGAGAGCCTTGCTACACCAGGAGTGGACTCTGGCTCCATCCCTGACTCTCCAGTGACCCTGGACAGTCCCCTTCATCTCCACCTTAAGAGTGTTCATTCTTCATTGGTTCCCATCCAAAAGGGATGGGTAGCCCTGGGTGATGGGGCAAACTCGAGTTCTAAGGTTCCAGCTTGAGGCTGTCTCGGGGAAATTGCCCCACATGGCCCACCCCTTCACCCTCCCTCCTCTTCCTCTGTCACACTCCTTCCTCCATCAAAACACACCCTCCTGTGCTCCTCAGGATAACTGGCTTATGGTTCGAGATGCCGCCCCCTTCCCATCCTCTGTGCATTCATAATAGAGCCACTCCTGAAAGGGTAGCCAGAGGTGGGATTTCAGGGACCACACCAAGCAGGTAGGCAAAAGTTTATAGGGACAGTAGAAAGAAAGAGGGGGCTTTTTGAAAATGACTCTATTCGGGCAGCACGAGAGCAGCTGTTACTGGATGGGCACAGAGCTGGCTAGCAGTGGCAGTGGCCCCCGTGTACCTGGCCAATGCAAGCGCTGCTTTTGGCCCAGCCTTCAGGCATCACTCCCTGTCCCCAATACCCCTACACAGGGTGCTGGCCATGACATGGCTTTTCCGTTTCCAGGGGCTGCCTGTGGAAGAGAGAAAGACTGCATAATAATGGTGGAAGGAGAGCACTCAGAATATTAGGATCCCAAATGGAGCATGTTAAGCATGCTTTGGTCCTTAACACCTCTGCTTCTGTCATACTCATCCCCCTGCCTGGAATGCCCTTTCCCTCCTTTTTTCCTCCTGTGGAAATCGTATTCGTCCTTCATCCACCCAAGGTGCAGCTCTCCCAGGCTTTCAGACTTCGAAGAACTCAATCTCCCACCATCACGAACATCTTGAGGCAGGGATCACATACCCCAGCTCTGCCCACTGGGTGCAGAGACAGGCTCAAGAAATGCTTGCTGGCTGGAACTGGCTAGTGCCAAAGCTGGATCTTGAAGCCACCCCAGCTCCAAGTTGGGAGGCAATCTT